AATATTGCCCTGTTGTACCTTTTCTGGGGATATATATATATATATATATATATATATATATATATATATATATATATAGCCCCTTGTTCTCTAGGATCTTTAACAACTCTCCATATACCTTGTGTAGTAATTTCAAGCCGTTACTGGCCATTAAAATGTCATCCATATAATGTACACATCATACCTCAGGATATCTTTCTCTAATTGGAACAATGGCACGACTCACAAAAAGCTGACACATAGTGGGGCTATTAGCCATGCCCTGGGACAGCACTACCCATTCATAGCACAGATTAGGTTCTTCATGGTTAACAGAAGGCAAGGTAAAAGCAAATCTAACACTATCTTTAGCACACAATAGGATGGAAAAGAAACAGTCCTTAATGTCCATTGCTATAAGGGACCAATCCTTGGGTAAAGCTGACAGTAAAGGTAAGCCACGCTGCCTAGGCCCCATAACTTGCATTTGCTTATTTATGGCTCTTAAATCATGCAACAACCTCCATTTCCCCGCCTTTTTCTTTATCACAAAAATGGATATATTCCAGAGTGAAACAGAAGGCTGAATATGTCCTAATTTTAATTGTTCTCGAACTAAAGATTTAGCTGCAGCAAGCTTTTCAGAAGAGAGAGGACATTGAGGTACTCAGACTGGCTCCTCTGTATTCCAGGTAATGGGAATAATGTCCTCAACAGCCCCTAGGAAAAACCCAAGCCCTGTCTAGGGGAATGAGGCTTGGCCTGAATTAGGGATCTCTGGCCTTGCAAATACTTTCTTAGCCCATAAGAGGGATGGTGACCCATGGCCTGCATCATACCTTGTGCCATAGGGGAATATTTGCCTTCATTAGTAAGTCTATATCCCATCCCCTTCCACAGGTCTCCACCCCAAAAAGTGACTGGTAACTCTAAGACTTAAGGTTGTATGCTTCCAGAGTAGCCTTCAGTATCTTTCCAAGCCAGCTCCCGGGCACTTACACTGGGAACTTTAGCATACCCCAAGCCCTGTAAAGTTTGAGAGGATTCTTGAACAGACCAAGCAGGAGGCCAATCCTTCATCCAATCACTTGGAGTCATACAGAGTCCAGTAAGGGATTGAATTTGCGCCACTGTAAAAGCAGCATTTACCCCATAGGTGCGGAGAGACTCCGCAAGTGCTTTAACTGTTTTAAAATCAAGATATTCATAATAGTGCTGCCCTGCATTATTCTGAAAGACGGGATAACAAAATTCATGTTTAACCTCCTTCCAGATCTCTGGGCAGAAAGACCACCCTCCAGGATCATCTAACAAAGAAGTTACATTGTATGGAGAAGGGGGTGGTCCCGGAGTGGTAGGCTCCACCTTGCAGGACTCAGAGTGCTTTCCCAAAGATGATTTCTCCATTTTCTTTACCAACATTTCTAGTTCCTCTTCTGATTCTGAGCTACTTTCCTCTAGACTTTCCCTGGAGCTTTCCTTATCTGACTTCATGGAGTGCTCTTCTTTCAACTGTTTTAACACTTCTTGCCCCTTTTCGACAGCCTTGCAGCACCTTTGATCCTCTAAGCTGCTGCAAACAAGCCTCCACTTCGGTCTTGTCCCTGGTCTCTATGTTCCCTGTTCCCAGGCAAAGTCTAGGTCTTTCTCAAGCTTGTCCCAGCAACTGATTGTTAAATTTCCAGAAACAGCCTACCAGGAAGTGACTGTCTCAACCTCCCGGAGGAATCTCTCTAGAGCACTCTTCTTTAACTTCAGCCCCTTGGATTGTAACAGCTCTTGAAGAGGAAGGAAAACTGGCCACCATGTTGTATTTCCCATACTTTCACTTTGGGTTCCTTCTGCTTTGTCCACACCTGGAACTTTATTGCTCCTCACCAGAGACCTTATTGCCTCTTTACCGAGGTCCTTAAGTTGGTCCCACCTTACCTTGGACTTACCAGTCGACTGCCCTGACTGCAGGAAGTTCTGAGCCGCTCACCCACTGAGAGAGGATCCCTGTACGGGCCACCACTTGTGGCATCTACCTTGGCCAGCAAGAAAACACGACCACAACTCTTCTTCAAGCAGTTTATTCAGGAACCTTGTACATTAAGGAGCTTCTTCTCCTTCCAGCCCCAGCAAGCTTTTAAATATGCGCTCACTGCCCAATCAGATCATGCCATTTGGAGATTCCAGATAAGGCCACAGAAGGAAGAAGCACACCAGATCCATCAAGGACTTCGAAATAAGGCTTGTTTACAGCTAAGATCTGACTACCTAGCATCCAGCCAGGCACCACCTTGGGGCTGTGGCTTCCCACAAATTTCTTGCTATATAGATCTTTAACTGGTTTGGTAAACATTACCTCAAGATACTTTGGTGTTTGTGGCTATTGTAAAGGGTGTTTGTCTGATTTCTTTCTCAACCTTTTTATCATCTGTATATTGTAGGGCTACTTTTATTTATTTATTTATTTTAGTTAGTCTTGTATCTTGCTAATTTACCGAATGAGTTTATCAGCTGTAGGAGTTCCCTTGTTGAGGTTTTCGGATCACTTATGTAAACTATCATATCATGGGCAAATAGGGAGTTTTACTCTCTCCTTTCCAATTTGTATCCCCTTGATCTCATTTTGTTGTCTTGTTGCTTTAACTAGGTCAAGTACAATATTGAAGAGAAATGGAGAGAGTGGGCAGCCTTGACTTGTTCCTGATATTAGAGGAATCACCTTAAGCTTCTCTCAATTCAGTTTGATATTGGCTGTTGGTTTACTGTATATTGCCTTTTATTATGTTTGGGTATGTTCCTGTTATCAACAATTCTTCCTAATAAGGTATAGGATTTGTATTAATCCTAGGAAGCCAATAGAATTTTGCATTATGCTGTTGGTAATGATATTGAAGATATAATGCAAAAATTTGCCATATAATTTAGTCAATACTTTGCCATGGCTGATGTTTCCTGATAATGTGTACTATGTCATGGAAACTACATAACCTCTAAGCATAGCTTGACTGTATAGGCTGACAGTATGAGGCATAACCATTCTTATTGTTCACATGAGTTCCAATATGTATATATAACACACCAGTCTAAATCCCAAGTGATGAGAATATGGCTATCAGATATGTAAGGCTTTAAGAAGTCCTACATGTTAGATATTTCATAATCTTGGTGTCAATTCTACTCTTTTGATCTTTGATGAACATCCTCCATATTTTTGTTTAGCTGATTTTATGTAAATTGTATAAAATAAAATCATTTCCAATATCAGTAATTTTTAAGGTACAACTGTCAAAACTGACCAGGTGTTAGACTCCAAATATGCCACAGTAGATGTATAGGAGTACATCAGGAATTTTAGATCATATTTTATTTGTTATAAATAAAGACATAAAACAATTCCCCTTAACATTGCCTGTCTTCTTTGTTCTGAGGCAATCAACAGTAGGATAGTATTAAGATAAGATATATGATTTTTTTTTCAGTTTTTTAAGTAATTGTTGAAATAACTTTCATACACATGTAGTTGTGCATGTAGCTGTGGACATGATTCTTAGGTATATGAGAGGGAAGTCAGATTGAGACCATTACTTGTTTCTATTTTTTTTCACACTATTATTCCATAACAGAATAAGGATATTCCTTTGTTTGATTTTTTCCACATTTTTTTATTGATTTTTTTGTGAATTTCACATCAAACACCCAATCCCACTCATTTTCCGGTCCTTGCACATCTGCTCTCCAGCCTTGTAACCTCCCCTCCATAATAACATAGAAAATAAAAACCACAAAAAATGTCTCATTGTAGAAGTGGCAATGTATCTCAAGGTGTGTTCTTTTATACAAACAAGTTACTTGCAAATGTTCATTGCAATGAGGCATTGGTCTGCTTTGTAACATCTAGCTTATCTTACTTTATTGGTAATGAATCCTCAATGAGACTCCTGTGGGATAGTCTATCGTAGCCCTGAGTCATGGAGATCCTGCAACTTTGGTTCTGTAGGAGCAGCCACTCCATCAACTCTAGCAGCTCACAGATGGTTTTGGTGGGGTGGGCCAGCTAAAAGCCCTGGATATGGGCCTAGGTGGTAGCTTAGTTGGTCAGCCCACCCCCTCTACCTTGCCCATGTCACTAGGGTCAGCTCTCCCATGATGCCCAGATAAGTGGTGGGCTGCCTCTACTGTGCCCACACCATCAGGGCCAACTCTTCCACACCCATGCCTCCAGTGCCAGGTCTCCTGCACTGTACACATGAGGGGCAGCACCAGCTCCCACGCACACTAAGTCATGAAGCCAGCTCTTCCACACCATGCAGAGCCAGCTCTCCCTAGTGCTGAGGCCAGCAAGTGGTGACCAGTCAAGCTCTCCTGTGCCAAACCACTAGGGCCAGTTCTCCCACACTGCCAAGGAAATGGGCAGGGCCATCTTTTCTGTGTTCATGTCATCGCTGATGCTGTAGTGGCTGGTGAGGGGTTTGACTGGCTCAGCACAGTACTGAGATGAAAACATGGCCTCAAAAGTAGACCAGAGTGAGAGATCCTCATCTGCATGGACACTGACACAGACCCTAGCTCCAGAAGGCCCATGGACCCAGACATGGCTCTCAGAAGCACCCCAGGTCCAGATATCACCTAGCCTCAGATGGCAGTGTAGGCCTCTCCCATCAGGCAATTTCTTGCTCCCTGCAGATCTCCAGTTCTGCCTCTTCATAGTGGACAAACAGCTCCCACTCCTCTCTCTCTCTTTTGTCCATCACATATCTGTTCATCATAGTGGCATTTGCCGTGACCCAGGGCCAGGGTCCTCTTTTGTTTGAGATTTTTACATTTTCATTTTCATTTGATGAAGGTGAGGGTTTGTTTCATCTCACACCTCTCTGTGTATTACCCAGGAAAAGCAGGTCAGGGGAAAAGGCAGGAATCAGGAGGCAGTACTGATGCACACATTGTAGAGGATCTGTGTGGAGGAACAGCTTACTCAGCTTTTTTCTCTTTATTGTATCTTTTATTTTTGAGATTATAATATAATTCCATTATTCCCCCTCCTGTTTCCTCCGTCCAAAGAAGATATGCCTTGATCAAGTAATCAGTTAATGTTTAGTAGTCAGTTCATCAATCAGAATGATGCCAAAATTTAGTTCATGTAGTACATTCTCAGTGACCTCTACTCATTCTTCATTTTCTTTCCCATCTTTACAAACTTTTGATAAACAAATAAACTGGATTTTATGGCAAGGACAGCTATGGATACCACACAGGCCAGTAGGAATCCAATCACATCCAGAGAGTGGTACTGGTACCAGGTGAGGTTGTATGCAAGTGGCCTCAGGTGCTTGGCTCCTTTGTGGCGCATGACAAATTCAATCCAGAAGGTGGCTCTGTCCAGAGGCTTCATGGGCTGGTCATGGTGAATGGTTGATAACCACCTTGCATTCTCTTTATAGCTGAAATAAGTAAAATGGACATCAGCTTATATAATGGATGAAAAATTCACATGCAGAATTTTATGTAAAGTAGATAGTAAAGAAAATGACACAAACATAGCAGGAAAATGAATTATGCTTTATGTTCATGACTAGAAAGATATTCAAGGTATGTGTGAGGTCCTTGAGTATGCAAGGATAAGCATCTAAAAAAAAAACTGTAAGATCAAATATTCCTAGAGTTTAGAGACAGCTAAACCTTATATACAAAATATCAAAATTACATCTTATTTCAGTATATAAGGCTTCAGTTACCCATAAGCAACTATTAATACATTATATGTTCAAAATGTATACTAGTGTCAGGATGTATAAATAGAAGGCAGATCCCTCTCAAGTCTCCATGGTGGTATATATCTGTATAAAGTTGACAAAGATTGAGATAACACTTCTATGGAAATCTATCAGTGTTTAGTGGTTAGAATGACAAGTGTCCTGGTTCTTATTAATTAGCTCTAATAGCTGCTTCCCTTTGCTTTTATGTATTTTTCATCTAGGTTATCAGGTATTCAGTAAAGCAGATAGGAAAGGTAGCTTTCTTCGCTCTTACTGTATACTGGGATTTTTATTAATTATATCATTCTTATTATAAAGTATAACCACAACAAATTTTTACTACTATTTTTAAGTGAGTGTGTGTTTGTGTGAGTGTGTGTGTGTGTGTCTGTGTATGTTATGAGATACACTGAAGAAAAACTTTCAGATGTTTGTAACCACCTGACATGGGTTTAGGGAACAGAATCCTGGTCCTCTGATAGAGTAGATCTTATTTTTCTTACCCACGGAGTCATTTTCAAGCCTAATTTTTGCTATGATCATTGATATTCACTTTTTGCTGTCTTTGTAATTTTAGAAGAATTGTAAAAATTTTATTCCAACATTGAAATAATTATTGATGAGTATTTAAAGAAGGGTAACACAGACCATAATGTCAGTTTGATGTTGCAGAAGTAGCAATTGTAATAACGGTAACTTACTGTCTTAAACTTACTAAGCAAACAGAGAATCATGTATTTCTTCTCATTAAATAATTTAGCCCATTTCTTAGTATGCATATTACTTTTACTTAAAATTTAGCATACAACTTATCTGGTGGGAAAATGGGAAGAGGGGGAGGATCCTTAGGGAAGGGAGAGGGAAATTAATACCAAAGAACAGAAAACCATAAGCTAACAATAAGAATGGCAGAAAAAGCCACAAAAGTTGTACTATTAACAATTTATCCAAATCCCCCATAACACTTGCAGTTCCATGTATAAATATACATATATGGTGTTAATGATCTTTTTCATCTGGACTGATCGTGCTCCATCTAAGAGACAAAGATCACCTAACATAAACCCCAATGCCAGACATGAGAAAACCTCTTTTAAGATGTTGTCCAGGTCTGTCAAAGAGACTCCTGAAATGTAAAGTCCATTGATGTAGTTTATTCTCCACATTTGGAAGGTAAGTTTGTATTGCTGAAAGAGCATGGAATTCAGAAACAGCCCAGAGACCTTTGAGGTAGAACTGATTTGAAAGTCACTTACGTAAAAACTAGCTTTCATGGTGCATCATAGAAGTGAGGATTGAAAGATTTCAAAAGTCATGTAACCAAGATATCTGCTGTGAAGCTGCATCTTTGATAAGCTATACTCATGAAGTCTCAGCAATATGGATATCTAAACAAGATCTTAATAATGGTGATACCAATAGTTATTCTCAACAACATAAGACCCTAAACAAGTGCTGGATAAGGATGAAACTGTCATGGTAACATGGAAAGAAGTCAATCTCACTCTTGTCTCAACTCTAAATAAAATTATTATAGACACTTGAGTAATGCTGAGAGTGGGAGAGAAATAATCTTTTTCAGGAAAGAGCTTCCAAATTGATTTTTTAAATCAAAGAAAAATAATGATGGTCATATTCATATGCTTTATTCTAATAGGTTTTCACTATTTGAACCTATCCTAAAACAAACAGCATATTTAAGCATTTAGCCATACACTTACTTTTATGTTAATATCTCTGTTACTTCAATACAGAAGGTTACAACTTTCATAAAGGTTACATATCTCTTTTATAACACCCAAGTTTCTCTGTTGTGATGTTTTCCTATAGCTTCTAGGTGTAATACATCTGGTACCACTCACAACATTTATTTTACGTCACTTGTTGGGTATTTAAGTTTTGTACAGTCCTAAAAGCTCTGATTATTTACTTTACTAAAAGAGTTGAGAATAAAAAAGAAGTGAGAGCTGATGGCATATGCCCGTTGGCCAACCAGTTTGGGGGATGAAGTAGAAGGGTTGCACATTTTGGACCAGTCTGATTTACATAAAAAAAGAAACATAAAGTGTAATGTGGAAATAAAAAAAAAAATGACAAAAAGAGAGAAAAACCCATGACACTTAATCATGCCCTAATTGGTCTCTGTATCTACTATTATTTTTGACTCCCACATAATTATTGCTCTTTTGACCTTCAATAAGAAGCATAAGGAATGAAAAATAAATAATGAATACACATTTAAAAAGGGTATACTCACGAAGGATTATCTATGACTGCCTCCAGTGCGTTGAGCAAATCTGACCTTGTCATTGCTTTGAAATTTAATGCAACAGCTGCTCCTTTGGCCACCATGTTCGCAATGTTATCATGCTGTTCTCCAAACAATGGAATGCCAATCATAGGGATTCCAAAATGAATTGCCTCATAGATGCCATTAGCTCCACCATGAGTTACAAAGGCTTTGGTTTTCGGATGACCTAGAATAAGATGAATTCAGATTTATTAGCAGTTCTAGTAATGTAATTAGAAATGTACACTGTGAGGAACTGAAAGAAAAATTTTCTATATGAAGATTCTTTGTTTATTAATTGGATTTAATAAGTTAGCTTAAATCATGACTACAGTTTTCCTTCCTTCCCCATTAGAAGAACTCCTTCTATTCTTATACTCATAACTTCAGTAAAATGGTTTCCTAACTCAGAATGAGAATAAACTAAATTTACAGAGAAACATCTTGCAAATTTACTTGTGACTTGAGACTTAAACTATGAAATACCGATTTCCAGTTGATCACATGTACTACATGGTAGATAAGTGAAAAATAGGAGTTAAAAAAGGCCAAGTGTATATCAGAAATTGTTATCTTAAATAAATAATACATCCACTATCTGTAATATAGAGGATTTTGAAGTCAAGGAGTATAGGTTCATTTTCCAGAGTCTTACCTAGAAGGTCATTCTGGGGAAGCCATTTGTAGATTCTGGTATTGGGTCCTAAGGTGTCTGGTGTTTTGCCATCAAATCTCCAAAGAACCTGTTAAAGATAATCTTTATTGCTAGATTCCAGTTTAACATTATACAGGTTGAACAGGTTATATTTAGAATTTAAATGTACATAAGTACACATATGTGTAAATAACAACATTAATGAAAAATGATGCTATGAATCTGAAAGACAGCATGGATATGAGGGGGCTTGGGGATAGAAATGAACAGAAAAGTGTGGCACATTACTAATAATTTTTATTTTTGATAAATATATCTTGATAGTTGTAATAGTCTAATTTTAATATTATATTTTATATTTTTGGTTGTGAACCTAGCCTTTAACAGCTGAGCCATCTCTCCAGCCCTTAGTATTATATATATTTTAAATGCTTAGAGTTTACTTTTATTCACTTGTCACATGTTATTTTTAATGAATTTCAAGTTTTTTTCTTTATTTATTCATGACAATTATTTTTGATCCACAATTCTCTTATGTCTGGAGTTTTCTGAAACAATGCCATAATGGTGGCCAATAGAAATGTGGAGTCAGTCATTTGACCCACCTCAGGAGTAACATTGAATAGTGTAGATTTACATCATGGTCCAGGTTTGGAATAACATGAGGAGAAATCTGAGTATTTGAGAGAACACTCTAAGAAAACAGGACAAGAGACTTGTGACCTCAATTTCTTCAAAACACAAGATTTTTCTTGGAATGTATTCTCATCCTCTTCCCAGGTGTAGCAGAGAGGAGTCTGTTAACCACTTCAGTTTAACTACTACTGCTTGCTATTGTTACCCTGATAATGTTTAAACTGTCCTTTGTGTGCCTCTGTAGTGGTTGCAAAGAAAATGGCCTACTAAGGAAGTGGCACTATTAGGAGTTGTGGCCATGTTGGAGCAAGTATGTCACTGTGAGTGTGGGCTTTGAGGTCTCTTTTGCTCAAGCTTCCCTGTGTGTGCCTTTCAATAGACTTCCTGTTGCCTGCAAGATGTAGCATTCCCGGCTCCAACATCATATTTGCCTTCATGCAGCTATACTCCCCTTCATGATGGTAATGGACTGACCCTCCTGAAACTGTAAGAGATCCACCACAATTAATTGTTTTCTTCAGAAGAGTTGTCATGGTCATGATCTCTTTTCTCAGCAATAAAAACCTAGCTCAGAGAGCCTCTATAGAAAAACACATTTGTTTCTGTGTTTTGTCACATGTGGCTTGTCCTTGTGATTGTATATGGCTTCAATTCATGTGATCTTTACTCATATGACCTTTCTTAAGCCTCAGAGTATACACTGTTTGATTCTTTGATAAAGTTGGCTATCACATGAGACTTTATTCTCTCTCATTTATTGGCTGCATTCTCTCAAGACCAACATTCTCTTTAGCTTTACATTGACTCCTTCACAAAGAGCTGAAGTTGGCTACATGATAGAACATGGCCTGGCCTCATAGAACGATGTGACTGCGAAAAATGCTGCAGAAACCAGGGAAGACTGCAGTATATCAAGGCTTTGTATTTTTTTTTTTTTTTTTTAAGAAAGGACAAGTATCAAAATCTCAACTATTAGACTACAAACAAATTGCTTGTGATCATTATCCCTAGTTTCCAGAAGAAGGCACTTCAGATGAAGAAGTATGGGAGAGAGTCTGAAGGAATATTGAAAAGGCATATAAATTAGGGGAGTACATCCCTATTAGATTTTGGGTCACTTATGCATTGATTTGGACTATTCATAGAATATGTAAGGAGGATAAAAAGGTTATTCATCATGAGGAAGATGTGACTAATTCTTTGCATGATTATAAACTAGATGATCACATTGTAAAATGGGTAAAATAGGGGGGAGAGAGAGAGAGCAGGGAGAAGGGAGAGAGAAAGAGAGAGAGACGAGAGAGAGAGAGACAGAGAGAGTGTAGGTAAAATCAAAAGTAAAACAGCACCCTTGGCAACAATGCAGTGATGGCTCCCTCAGCTCCCTTATTGGAATCGACTTTATATATATTTCCTGTATTGCCTTAGATTATACTGAATCATGGGTTGAGGAATCTGCCAATCTATCTAATCTTGAATTCACTCTGAGGATTTAGAAAAGCCTACAAATAAGCTAACTTTACAACATAGACAAGCCAGGGCATGGCAGGGAAAACGAATTCATTTAGCAATTTCTCGCTGGCCTCCTGAACTGAGCTTAGTATTACCAGTGAGATTTCAAAAAATTGAAAATATTTACTAGAGGCTAGACATGGATATAATGAAAGATTTCAAGAAGGCTCTTGCTTTATGGATCCACTGTTATATGAAGTTATGGTTATCTTTCTGACTGCAACAATAATGTGCAATAGTTTCCATATGATTCTCATGTAATTGTTAAAATGTATCCTGGCACTTTCAAATCACTTAAGCGGCAGGTGTCGCTTGCTGATAAAGTCCACTAAAAAGTTCTATAGTTAGGACTGAAGGATAATCTTACAAATGTCACTTATGAAATGCTGACAAGGATTGGAAGATCGTTATCAACGGATTATTAGCTGCACAATATGCCTCCTGCATTATCACACATATATTATTGATGTATCCATCTTTCACTGCCTGAATTAAAATTGATATGGAATCTGAATTTGGGTCTAGTTATGTAAAAAATATACAAAGTCCCTCTGAGCCTTATGTTAGTTTCATGGGAAACTCAATGATGCTATTGGACAACAAGTAAAAGGGGAACAAATTCATGAATTATTAAAAACAGCTTTTGATAATGCTAGTCAAGATTGCCAAGGATTAATCAAACCTCAAAAAGAGAAAATGTTATAGACTTTCCAAAGTTATGTAGAAATCTAGAGATCTATAAACATGGAGCAAAATTAGCTGCTACAGAAATCTATGCTGTACAAAAACAGATTTTAGCAAAGTGGCCACTTAAAGAAAAAATATAAACTGTCTTTGCAACACTGCTCAGAATCAATGAGCTCCTGGCTTATGGCCTATATGCAAGATGGAAAAATATTGGGTTAAGAGATGCTGATCTAAATATGATAAGGATGACAATACATTGCCGGGCAACAATAACTATGCCAGTTAACAAACAGAGTAACATGTTGAGGGGTTCCCTAAAGACCCCACAAAATATGAGGGTTTAAATCTAAAGCAATAACATTTATGCCAGCTTCAGATTGTAATCTGTCTATTCTTTTGTTACAAGCTGTTATCAAGGAAGTGCTGCCATTGGTTGTCCTTGCTCTAAAGCATTGCCATTTCCTCTCTTCTGTGTCCTTTTAAGTTACACACAGGATACTGCCTCAAACAGATGGACTTCTACTGGTTTGCAATAGTTTGTCCTTGAAAGGAATCTTTGTTCATACAGGAGTCATTGATGATGATTATACAGGGGCAACTGCTGTCATGATCACTGTGCCTACTAATTGGCCATTTCAAGTGGGAGAAAAAAATGCAGTTATTATTATTGTTTCTATACTCCCTTCACATAGAAATGTGCTTTATGAGAGAGGGTTCAGTAGTACAAATAAGATTTTTATCTTAAGTCCCTTACTAAAGGAAATGATGAACCATTATTGGATTTAAAAACAAGAAGAAAAATGTTTATAGGATTAATTCCTATATTTTTATTATAACTGTAGAAGAATGGCCTCCTGAATGGTCTGTTATGGCAGAAAAATTCAATCCCAATAGGGTTTGGGAGTATGAACTCTAACGAGATTAAACAGAATCCTACAAAATCGCAATGTATGATCTCAGAAAGCATAATGGAAGTTCTCCAGCCTTATGCTACTCATGTTGTGATTAATCTTTGGGGAAGAGACTTTCTAAAATAAGCTCATGCAGAAAACTATATTCCCATCTCTGAGATACCCATTCTTCACAATTACATTGCTGATGATAAGCTTTGGTTTTCACAATGAAAAAGACTAGAAAAAGTGTTACAAACGATTATTGAACCTGCATTTCCATGTGGACAAGAAAATGAGCATGGGTTGGGTTTTTCATCCGTGTCAAAATTACCTAAATATCTAGCAACCCTGTTGGTATACCTCAACAGCATATTTCTAAAGAAAGGTGTGGATCTTCACAAGGTAGTCAGAAAACAGTAGAGAATGGGCCCATAGAGCCCTTCCCTCCCCCCACCCTCCGGAATCCTCCTGGTTCCATAATCAAAAAAAAAAGAACCTGGCAAATGGAGATGGTTGATTGATTTATTAAATGTTAATGCCACCCTGTGGCCAATGAGAGCTTTACAGCCTTGTTTCACAGACAGCTATTGTTAAAGACTGGCCCTTTCACCCTCCCTAGGAACCAGAAAGGAGATGGGACAGGTCATTCCTTGGGGGCAGGGGAGGAGGGGAGGGAAGGGATATTGGGATTGACAGGTAAAACAAGAGTGTTACTCACTTAAATTAAAAAATGTAGAAGGGAAAAAAGATTGGCCTTTAATAACTTTGCGTTTATGAAACGTTGCTTTGATACTTCATAAGGTAATTTTTTGCTTTTTCTGTTCCTTGATTCAATCATAAAGAATCTCAGCTCTGGTACAAGTGGGCTGTGTTACCTCAAGGCATGACAAAATCCCCTATCATGTGTCAGTACAATGCAGGAAAGGTTTTAGAGCCTGTGAGGGAGGCCTTCCCTATGGCTCATGTGTGTTAGGATTGAAAGCAGGACAAATGTCTGAGGTGCCTGTTTAACATTTCAATGCTGACCTGGATACCAGGTTTTCCCTGTATCCCTCAGTTGATACCTATTACAGGGCCTTCCTGGCTGGCATACCCTGCACCCTGTCTTGAACTCTCCAGCCCAAGGGAGACTGTTCTTCTCAATATAATCCAACCATTTTGGTTACCCATTCTTTTTTTTTTGTATATTTGGCCTCCTGGCTGCTTCACCTGGTTCCCCTTTCTTATCTCTTCTTTCCCCTCTCTACCAACCTCACAAGGCATAACTCAGTCTGGCCATGACCATTCTGGACTTTCTCAGATTTCTTTGTCCCTGACTCTGGTTATCTTCTCTCTTATATCTATAATATACTTTCTATCATGCCTAGGACGAGTCACGTCCTTTCTTTTCTTGTTTTCATTCAATATAATTCATTGTATGGATGATATCATGTTAGTCTCCCCCAAAGAGAAGGAGCTACAATTCATATATGACATGTGTTACATAAAAATTGGCTTACTATTACCCCTGAACATTTACAATGACCAGATTCTGTGTAATCTCTGGGGCAACTAGTTTCTAGAACATCTACTAAGCACCAATTCCCCCTTCCCCTCACAAATGTCTATTAGATAATACAATTTTACAAAGCTCAATGGCTTTTGAAAATCATTAGGGAATATTAATTATCTACATACCACTTTAGGAATACCTGATTATGTCCTAAACAATCTATTTAAAACTCTGAAAGGAGAGACAACATTGGATTATTCTTTATGTATCTTGAGAGGCAAAGGAAGAATTAAAGCTATTTGAATCGAAAATAAAAGAGGATTTTGTGTATTGTGCAGGTCCCTTGCTACCTTTTAATTTACATATTTTCACCACTTAATTGTCTCCTACAGGTAGTGTAGCACAAAATGATAGATAAATCTTTAGAGTTCATTTATTTACAGCCATAAAATACTAAGTGCTTTCCTTACTCTTCTTGCTCAGCTAGTAAACCAGGGGAGGACCCAATGTCAACAATTATATGGATGTGATCCTTGCTTGTTTACATTACCACCAAGTAATTATCAGTTTTAAAGAGAGCTACAGAACTCTATGGATTTTATAATTTCATTTATACATTACTATGGAAGGCTAGGAAACTGTTCTAATTTCATCATCACATCCTATCATTTTTTGGAGTGTGTTTTTACCCTCCTCCCAGGTGTAGCAGATAGGAGTTGGTCTACTTCATGTTAGCCACTGCCACTTGCTATTGTTATCCAGGTAATGCTTAAACTGTCCTTTGTGTGCCTCTGTGGAAAAGCATGTTTTTGCCACACACACAGCTTGTCGTTATGATGATATACAGCTTGAATTTGTACGGTTTTTATTCATGACCTTTCTTTACCCTCACAGTGTATTTCTGTGTATAAGTTGGCAATAGCAAGAGAGTTTAGTCTGACTCATTTATCAGCTCCATTCTCCCAAGTCCCTCTCCCTCTGGAGTTGTGTACATTTTTAAACAAAAGAGTAAAGCTACTGTATCAACTTTACTCCAAAAGACTTATGTTTTTTGTAGGCCAATACAGTGGAAAACAGTCTCAGAGCTCCATCTACTGTCCATAATGACTATGACCACACTCAGTGTAGCTGACATTTCTTTCTTTCATTTCATTTCTTTGGGAGTTTCATATAATGTACTTTTTCCATAATCACTTCCTATCCCAATCTTTTCTAAATCAACCCTTTCCTTTTCCACTCAACTTGGTGTCCTTAAAAGAAGGATCCTTTAAGACTAATTTGCCAAATATTTTTGGATATGTGGTCTTCCAGGAGACAATGAGGGCACCATCTTCCCCTCTCACAAGGTAATGATTGTCAGTAGTTCCATTTCATTCAGTGCGATTATGTACCCTCCTCCCTTCTTTATGCTTAGGTTTCATCTGTTTTGATTGTACAAATTGAATCCATAGTATATTTTATGAATTGAGTCACCTGAAACTTTTTTTAAGTTTAGGTTACTTTGGATTCTTTCTTACTTTTGTATTTCTTCCTTGAGTGGTAGAACTTTCACTTTGACTGGTTCTATACAAGCCCCATGTTTCCTCGTTTATGATGCACAGATATTACTGTGAGAGAAGTATCCATCGGTATCTTTCCTTTATATATTTCTTCTACAAATATTGTTGAGGCAGTCCAGAACATAGTTTTTTTATAAACCAAAGTGTGTTTACATTGAGAGTGGTGAGCCTTGGATTCCCTTCCTTTAAATGGCCCTCTCATTGCACACTAAACAGGCCTACTCCAAAGTTAGGATGCAGAGTCATGCTACATTTTAAGCCTTTTCAATTCCTGCTTACTGTTATTCTCTAGAACAGTAAATAACTCCCTGAAAAAATTCTAATGTATGCAGTGACTTTCAATAATTAACAAATAGAATAAGTGACACTGAAGAATTTAACAATGTCTATTGACTCTTGATAGCAACGTCATCATCATGCCACCATTTCAGAATGTGCATACAGTGATCACAGTGTTTATATTTAAGTCACTCTCAGTCAAAACCACCTTCTGTAGTATTGCAGCATCTGTTGTGAATATATTTCTAAATTGGCTAAGGCCAATTAGAGCTTACTTAAAACTTAATGTTTCAGATAGTTATTTCTATAATCAGACCTTTCAAAGGACTTTCACAGTCTTAGTATATAGTCATCTGCCTTGGAGCAGTTTACCTTACCTTTTGTGGAATCTGGGCAAGGGCCCATGCAATTGCATTGGCCTTTTCTTCTGACATGTTCCTGACCAATGACCCCAGAGTAAACACCACAACACCATGCTCTCCAGAGGTCTGGACAAAGTCTTCCATTTCCTGTGAAGAGAATTTGCTTCATGACAAATACCAATTGTAGAAAAAGCTAGAAATTAAAGTGTTTCTAGGAATTTTTAGAATAGTGGTATTTAAAACATACAGAAGACAAAAATGGCAATGTCAAATATTGGAACTTCACAGGAATCAATACAAAGTGTACTCACAAATTATGCAACAAACATTCTAATTATTTTCCTCTGGCATAATTAAAATTCAGGAGCACAAACATATTATATGAAGTATTCATAAAATTGTAACTTCATTTACATGATTTATCCTATTTTTTTTCCATTGCTATTCTACTTTTCTCCTATAACAGCTGATTTAATATTACTAACTAATGTTTGATGAAATATCTATGTTGTAGTATATACATTTGTAGTAGTTAACACAAACTTCCTACTATGATTAATACAATGCTTTGATTCTTTGTGAAATAATCATAATTGCATCGCAAACATATACTATATAATAATTTTCTGATATTGTGTATAAATAGGGCATTTTCAAAGATGATCTTCATAATTTACTGGTTGGAGATAAACTATATCTATGTTGTTTCTCTGGATATCAAACAATTACCTCAGATATATGTTAGTCATAGATTTTGATAACTGATAGTTTCTAATGTGATGAGTTTAACTGACTTAATTTCTCTCTTTTGAACATGTGTTTGTGCATGTGTGTGTGAATATGTGTGTGTTTATGTGAATGTTCTAGTGTGTGCGTGTATGTAAATGTGTGTGTGTGTGTGTGTGTGTGTGTGTGTTTACTGGGGGTCCTAAGGAGGTTCCCTGCCTTTGTGTTAGTACCTACATACCAAAAGTTAAAAATTGATGCTTTCCTCTATCAATCTCTAACATAGTTTTTGAGACTATTTCACACACACAAATCTCACCATTTTTAACAGATTAGTGGCCAGCAAGCTCCCAGTATCAACCCATTTCTGTGTCCTCAATACCAATGCCATAGCACTGTGCTGGGGCACCCAATTGTTTACATGGGTGTTGGGATTCAAACTTTCATCCTCATAGTTGCTTGGAAAGGACTTTACCCAAGTACCATAACTGACTTAATTTAACTCACTGATATGAATATTCCCCATGTCTATCCCATTCTTTCCTGAGTTTATTGATCTCCTAGTTAGAAAGTTAGCAAGATACTTAATCTTCTTGTTAGCAAGATACTTAATCCCACTTTCTAAAGATCTCTACCACTGGGAGCAAAATGTAATGAAAGGTGAAGAATCTCTGTCACCAGAAATTAAATTAAATGGAAAAGGCATTATAAAATGTATTTACCTTGGGCAAGGGCTTAGCAGGTTTGCAGTGGAGTCCTCCAACATAGTCAACATTTGGTAAGGTTGGGCGAGGAAACTCCAAGTCCCAGTAGGACCGAATGAGCCACATTTCTGCTTTGCCCATTGTCTCAGCTAAGGTAGTACGCCTTCCTGGATGGAGAAATTGAGCAAACGAGAAACCAAGAAATCCACAGGATTGTCATCTGAATATAAAATATATTTTCTTAAAAATGATGGAAGAATTTAGTTTGATGTAGAACATGTGCATCTAAAAAACAATGTTTATTGATATGTAACATAATTTGCATGTGCAATTGATATGTGGCTCACATATATACATAAATGTCACTTTGGGTTTATTTTTTAAGTAAACGGTAAGAATTACCTCTAGTTTCCTCAATAATTTTATCTCATGGTTCCTCAGTAATTTGAGATAATAAATAGCTATTGTAATAAATCACTAAGCCACCATATGAATAAGCACACATTTTTCCTCTTAAAATCTAGTAAAGGAACAGTGCAATATACACATACATTCCAGGTTCAAAAGTCACACAATCACACCTTGCTGTGTAGCCTGGTCAGACTTCCCAGGGTCATTGTAATTTGTAGCTAACCCTTCTTCCTTGTTTTGCCAAAGGAGCTGTAAAGTTTATGAATGGTTGAATTTTTGGTTAGTGCTACTCTTTTTGTTTCATATTAAGAAATTTAATAGCACTCATCCTATGAAAACAATCATACCATTTTCAGAAGTTATGATAATAGAAATTTTTGGCCAGTTTTAACTATGGCATATTTGTTTAAGAGAAAAAAAAAAAAAAAAAACCCAGGACTTCAAAAAGTACAGACTGAGCACACACGTGCCCATGATCCTGTAGTGTTTAAACAATAGATGCTAGGACCGTACATAATAAAGGAAAGTGGTGTTAGAAGCAACCACAATTCCTTTTTTTCAAGCCTGTGAACCAACACGGTATCTTTTAAGCATAAAAGAATACTTAGGAAATACAGGGAAATATCTTTTGATTTCTTTTGTATTTGTTTGGTTTTTTGAGACAGGGTTTCTCTGTATTGCTTTGGAGCCTGTCCTTGAACTCTCTCTGTAGACCAGGCCAGCTTCAAACTCACAGAGGTCCTCCTGACTCTGCCTCCCTACCTCCCTTGTGCTGGGGTTATAGATGTGTACCACCAATGCGTGGCATGATTTATCCATTTGTTTATGTATGTGTGTGTGTGAGTATATGCTAAGTTTATTCAGGTGCCCACAGGTATAAAAGGGCAGCATGCTCCCTGAAGCTGGAGATACAGGAAATTTTGAGCCACTGAATCTGCGTGGCACTACTAACAGAACTCAGGCACTTCACATGAACAGAAAATACTCTTAACCTTTTGGCATGTTTTCAGACACCACTTTTTAATTTAAATAAAGACAGTGGTGTATCCAAGCAAAAACAATTTCTTCAGTGTTAAATACATATTGGAATTGTAAAATATGTGATTCTTTAATCTACATCAATCAAAACTTGATTAATGAGCTGGTGATTTATTAAAATAGATGAAAATTATAGTAAAATAAATCACTTAGGGAAGGTCTCTTGCATCTCTTTGCAATGTATACCTCATCAGAATGTCCTGTATCAGAACTGCTACCTGCTTCCATTTGATCAGTAATATGAGCTTTTACAGAGTTTGTGAGTTTGGTAGCTAATATATATTACATTTAATCACCTATAAAAGAGAATTCTCACTTTTTATTTCATTGACACAAGGGTAGATTTAAACACTTGTGGAATTTTGGTTACTGAACTACAGAAAAGAAACATAACTTACCCAAAGTTTCACTGTAAAACTGATCCCATTTCTTCTCATTAAAAGTCTCGAACCAAAAGTCAAAATAAAGCATACATATCATATTTTTTACCCTCTCCATGAATGTCATTGGACCCCCAAATCCTGACAAAATTATAGGTACATAAGAGGGAGGGACTAGAAGTCCTGCACTGTACTTTTCCATTGTGTAGCCAGGAGAGAAGCGAAGACTGTACAGAAAAGGGATTTGCAGCAGTTCAGCTATCAGCTCTCCACAAGGAGAAATAGCATCCGAGATAAGCACATCAAACTTGGATTTCTGTAGTTTTGTCAACAGTTGTTTGTTTGAAACTGTGTCTTTACAAAGACTTAGATAGCTATCAGAATATGCACCAAACAAATTTTGTAGCAAAGGAGAGTATGATAAACATGTATCTCTTGATATTTCATTAGTCCATACATCCGCAAACCTATGATAAACCTTATCCAGGTCATCTTTACTGATAGATGTAGAAAAACTCTCAAACTTCAGGCCAGGTGACTTTTGGGGATCAAGAAAGATGGAAGCTGAAGGTCTCAGAACTGTCACTTCATGACCTCTCTGTGCAAGCTCATCCAGTATTATCTTTAGATTCAACCAGTGACTGTATTCCATTGGCCACACCAACACCTTCCCACAGTTCCCAGATCTGAAGCAGCAAGTCATCTGTAGCAGAAGCAGCACAGCAGACATCCACTTTGCAGGCATCTTGGAAAATCAAAGTCCTCTGTTCACTATGTGTTCCCTTCTGCTTATCCTTATATCTAAGAAAAAGAAGAAGAAGAAAAAAAAAAGCCATGAGTTAAAATGTAACCTGAGTTTGTTAATGCAAATACAATAAATGACCTCCTTGAACTTGTGAGCTGAATGGAGATAGTATAAGCAAATATTAATTATTTCGTATTTTCACGTAAGTGCTTAATGTCACATGTTTTGTTAGGAAGCAAATTTAGTTGTCAATAACCTCTTTGCATATTGCACATCTCTTCTGTTTCTAAGATATCTGAATAGTAAGTAGCAAGAACACTGGTTACAGAGAGGTTAGTCTGAAATTTGGTTTTCAACACATACCCCAAGATGTAGAAATTCTACAATTTAAAAGTATTTTAAGGGTAAATTTTTCAAGATTTTTTTGTAAGAATGTTGATTGACATATCCACTTACAGATAATTTCTAAAATAGCTTGACAGTATGCCTAAATTACTTGACTGACAGAAGCTCCGAAAAGCAGATAGGCACATGCCTCCTCCTACACAATGCCCATAGGGAAACAGTTGAAGACACTGGCCTGAATTATATCATCTGCTCAGGCAGCCAGTTAGTTCAACTAATCTGTCCACTGGCCATTCATAAGCCCAAGAAATAATTTACTTGCTTGTTATCAGAAACTTAGTGCCCCAAGGCCCTGAGAAGTAGATGAGCACATGAATCTACATTCCCTCCTCTCACTGAAACACCATTCCTGACGTCATCAATTTCTGTAAGATTGTTCGTGCAGGTCTTAGATATGGACATGATCTGTCTTCGTCTTCTTGTGTGCCCTGGAATTCTGCTGAAGATATCAATTTTCAAAGCATTCTAAGAGGCATAATCTAGAGAAATTTTTTGATTATAAATTAAGCCAAAGTCTTCACATTGACCATGTCCTTCACCAAAACCAAATTTTGGCATTATAGCTGTACATTGCCGCATGATTTGAAGGGGTAGTATCCATTATTGCAAACAAGCTCTATAGGGCTTTATGTGGTGGGAAAACATGGCAGAGACGCCTCCACATATGGAAAACTGAAAAATTAATCTCTGGAAAATAGATATACCCAAATATTTCTTTCAATTGTGCTTGTATCTGTTAACTTAGTAATGAGAAAACCATCAACTCACAAAAATGATATTTCCTGCACAAACTATTGAGTCAACCTTTGAACTTTGAAAAGTTGTTATGGAAAGTCTTAATAATTTAAGTTGAAGAGTAGTATTTGGTTTTATTTAAAGACAATCTTATTTTACATACCAATCCCAGTTCCCTCTACCTCCCATCCTCCCACTCTCCCCACGATTCCCCCATCCCACCCCTATCCACTCTTCAGAGAGGGTAAGGCCTTTCATGAGGGATCATCAAAGTCACATCAACAAGAAATATAATGCTATTTCCATGAAGATTTCTTTTATAGACCAAATTTAGTGATTGCCTTCACTAAAAATAATAAGAAATATTACATTTTCATACACAGTGCATATTTTTCTGTGGTCATTTTTCTAGTTAGCTGTGATATCTAGAGCCACACTATTCAAGAAAGCTTTAGTACACTGGTTCTCAACCTGTGAGTCACAACTCATTTGGGGTCACCTAAGACTATTATTAGAAAACACAGTTCCAATGGTCTTACTGAGACACAATTCCTCCATCCATCTCCTGGCATGTCATCCCACATGCAGATATGCTCACACATGAGTAATTAGAACTCTATTCAAGGGTCTCAGCTTTCAGAAGGTTGAGAATCACTGACTCCTGTAAGCTTGGCATAGGACCTTAAAAAATATACATCGATGTCATAAAATTTCCAATTTGTATCCTATGGAACAAAACTGAGATCTCAAGCGATGAATGCTTTAGATGTTGTAGTGAAAGAAATACTAGTTTTGCTCAAAGTATTACTGAGACCATTCATAGTGCTGTGGAATGCATTTTTCATTGGAGCTAAATGATGGAGAATTTTCCATCTTCTTCTTATTTTGAGATGCTCACATTTACTTTTAAACAATCTATAATGTATTAGTTCTATGGCTTATTTGAAAATATAATTTTAATATTGTGGCATACTTTTTTCTATTAATCAAGATACCCAAAGCATCTTCATATATATTAGATAGTTACTACCATTAATAAGTATTATAATTCAAAGGTAAATTGCTTCCCTCAGGCTCAGTGCTGAAGGATTTTTTCCTCTAAATAATTCCACTGTCTTGAAAGTTTCTTTAAACTTTAAGAGGAAAGCCTAAGTAGAGGAAATATGTAATTACCTGTGTATCTTGGGGGCTGTATATTGCTTAACCCCATGAAGAAGTAGCTTCCCTCATATACTTCAGCTGTCAGCTAACACAGTGCCAGATTCAAAAGACTGGGATGTCTGTGATTTGAACTTCTCTTAGCATTGTCATCTTTCCTTTAAAAACAGTTTTCATGAAAGTATAAACCTTTGTCTTTCCCAAGAAGCTTTATGATGGGGGTGGTGGCAAAAACTGTGCCTATGCAGTCCACTCACATTTCAAACACTTATTTTGGGGTATTCCATCTACTTTAAAGATTTTTAATGATGAGTGATATCTATGACATGATGACCTTAACTGATTTCATCTTGCTGACTGTTCTGTATATTTCTAAGATCTCTCATGTTGTTCCTGTGATGGTAAATTAAAAATTAGGGCTAATGGCAAGAAGGGAAAACTAGAGAGAACAAAAATTTCTGCCAGTAGATAACTTCCTGACTACAGAGCCACATGCAGAACAAAAATAAGAAAACCCCCTAACCTTGCACATGTGCTAATCAATCTTGCCTATCCATAATGACCTTGTAAAGGAACTTTGTACTCTATGAAATGTCTGTAACCTTGGAAACCTTGTGAACTGAGACTAGCAGTCTCAAGCCTCCCATTCCCTTTTCCGTTTTAAAAATGCTTTGCCATTGTAAGCAAGGGCTTTACTCTTCCTATACAGTGATGTCCCAGCTCATTTGGCTCTTAGTAATAAAAAACCTTTTGATTTTACAGTCCAGAGTCACTTCCTTGGAGGTTGAGGAAAATCGACTCAACAGTTCCCTCTGCAGAAACACGTGACCCTGTGAAAAGGTATACTTTTGGTTGGCAATATTCAAAACATTCTTCTTTAAGAGACCACTGAAAATGAAACCAAACAAAAGGGAACAAAAAGACTTTGATTTACCTCGGGCAAGGGTTTGCCAGGTTTGCAGTGATGTCAGCCAATAAAATCAGCAATAGGATTCCCCCGGAAGCCTCAGGCGGACTCCACCGAGCCCAGGACGATTCAGCCAGTTCTCGGAGGATCAGGCACAACCGATGAGGTAACCGGGCCCGCCCCTGAGCTGCGCGCGCACACACAAGGCGTGGGCATCGCTTGACTCTGGCGGCCACACGGGGAGAGCGGTAGGGGACTGCAGGCACGCCACTTCCGGGACCGGCGCCAGGGTGTGCTGGGATTCGTGCGGGTTGGAGGAAGCCGCGAGATCGCCGAGCTCAACCAGTCCTGCCTCAGCGTTTCGGCCAAGATGCTGGGGTCGGAGGTGGGGGCCCTCTCCGAGGAGGGGCAGGCGGGCAGGCGGGCGGGCGGGAGGCGCTTTTGGGGCTGCTGCTGCCCTCGCTGCGGTGGGCGCTAGGCAGCGGCTTCGACGTGAGCACGATCATGGCTGCGAGGACCAGAGCTGCTGTCGCTGAGCGGCCTGTGCCAGGAACAACCATCTCGGCGGCCCCGGCTCGCTGCCCAAGGGCCTGGCCCACTTGCCTTTCTGTCGTAGCCCACAGGTGCTCAACCTCAGCAGCAAGGCAACTCTTTCCAGGAGGTGCCCGCCTAACTGCCAGGGCTAGGCTTGCTGCAGACCCTCAGCCCGGGCTGCAACCAGCTGAAATTGCAGAGCACTCCTGCAGCGTTTAGAATGCTTATGCCTTGGAGGGAACTTCATTAAAGAAATCCCACCAGAATTAGCAAATCTACCCTCTCTGAATTACTAGGTGTTATGTGACAACAAACTCCAAAGTGTGCCTCCTCAATTTTCACAGTTGCATTCACTACCTGCTCTCAGTCTCCACAATAACTTACTGACATACCTGCCAGAAGAGATCTTCAACATTATTCATCTGGAAGAGTTGAGTTTAAGAGGAAATCCATTGGTTGTTCGGTTTGTTGGAGATTTTGTAAGACCCTCAGAATGAGGAGTCTTCCAGGATCGGTCGATACCCCAAGAACTCAATGTCCAGTTCAGTTGCTGCAAAATGCAAGAGGCTTTAATGAACAGGAAAACATTTGCACAAATAGGCTCCTCCAGCACACAGGCTCCCTCCCCTGGGCCCAGGTGTTTTTAAAGGCAAACCCACAAGCTTAGGAAGGGGGTGGGACCCTCTGTCCATTGAGTATGTGACCCTTGGAGGCCAGATGGTCTGCTATTAGGGTCAGCAGACCTTAGGGCCTCAGGGTGTGCTAATTAATCTTGTCTGGGCAAACCAGAGTTACAGCTATCTCTTTGTTTCCTAAGTACCCTATTTACCACCTGTTGACTCACAGGAAAGGAGGGGCAGTGTGAATTCTTATCTCAGGGCCTTGTGAGAGAAAGCTAGCAAATTCCAAGGAACAGATATTGGTTTCCAGGTTAGTCCATCATTAACATTACTTTTTAGGTCTTTCAACTTAACATATGACCCTCCAACTCTTCTGGAATTAGCTGCAAGGACCATTAAGATCCAAAGTATTTCTTTTGTTTTTAAATATATATTTACTATTTTTCTTATTTCACATATTGATCCCAGTTCCCTCTCCCTCCCATGCCCTTCAATCCCCTTCCCATCCCAAACCCCTCTCCCCACTCAACAGGGAGGGTGATTCCTTCCAGGAGGTATCATCAAAATCTGTCAAGTCATTTGTAGTTCAGGCTAGGCCCTCCCTCCTGCTTCTAGACTAAGGAAATATCCCTCCATGGGGAATGTGCTCCCAAAGTCCTTTCATGCACCAGGGATACATCCTGTTTCCACTGTCAGAGGGCCCTTAGACTGCCCAGGTCTTCTAACTGAGAATCATATTCAGGGGGCCTGAGTTGGTCCAAAGCTGGAATCCCAAATATCAGTCTGGGGTCCATGAGCTCCCCCTTGTTCAGGTCTGCCTGGTCTTGTCCTCATTTTCTTATCACTCCTCCCTCTATGCATCTGGATTCTAGTTTAGCTCAGTGTTTAGTTGTGGGTATCTGCTTCTGTTTCCATATGGTGGCATATATGTTAGTTATCAATCTCATTATCAGGGAAGGGTATTTAAGGTACCCTTTCCACTGTTGCTCAGATTGTTAGTTGGGATCATCCTTGTAGATCTCTGGACATTTCTTTAGAGTCAGTATTCTCATCAAACCTCTAATGGCTCCCTCTTTTATGGCCTCTCTCTCTCTCTCTCTCTCTCTCTTTCTCTCTCCACTTTTCTTCTCTTGTCTATACCTCCCCTGACTCAATCTTCCTAGTCCCACATGATTTCCTCTCCTCCCCTTCTCTTTCTCCTAGCTCCCTCTCCACTCACTGTCTCCCCCAACTCCCAATATCCTCAGGAGATCTTGTTCCTTTCCTCTTCTGTGAGGGACCTTGCATGAATCTCTTAGGTTCCTCCTTGTATCCCAGTTTCTCTGGTGGTATGAATTATAGGCTGCTGATCCTTTGCTCTATGTCTAAAATCCATATATGAGTGAGTACATAGCATGTTCTTCTTTTTGACTGGGTTACCTTACTCGGGATTTTTTTTTTTTCCAAGTTCCATCCAATTGCCTGCGAATTTCAAGATTCCATTGTTTTTTTATCTGCTAAGTAATATTCCATTGTGTAAATGCGCCACATCTTCATTATCCATCTTCAGTTGACGGGCATCTAGGTTGCTTTCAGGTTCTTGCTATTACAAATAATGCTGCTAGGTTACAAGGTAAACAACAACAACAACAAGAAATCAGTAGCCCTACTTTATTCAGATGGCAAAGGGGCTGAGAAAGAAATCAGAGAAACACCATTTACAATAGCCACAAACAACATAAAGTATCTTGGGTAATGCTTACCAAACAAGAGAAAGACCTATATAATAAGAACTGTGTATCTTTAAAGAAAGAAACGAAAGAAGATACCAGAAAATGGAAAGATCTCCCATGCTCTTGGAGAGGTAGGATAAACATAGTAAAAATGGCAATCTTGCTAAAAGCAATCTGCAGATTCAATGCAATCCCCATTAAATTCCCAGCACAGTTGTTCACTGACCTTGAAAGAACAATATTCAACTTTATAAGGAAAAACAAAAGACCCAGCATAGGCAAAACAACTCTGTACAATAAAGGAACTTTAGGAGACATCACCATCCCCGACTTTAAGCTCTGCTACAGATCTATAGTCCTGAAAACAGCCAGGTATTGGCAGAAAAATAGGCAAGTAGACCAACGGAATCAAATAGAAAATCCTGATATTAACCCACACACCTATGAACACCTGATTTTTGACAAAATAGCTAAAAGTATATACACCTATGAATGGAGAGAGGAGTAGGAGAGAGAGAGCAAGAGAGAAAGAATGAGAACATAAAAGAGGGAACCAATATTGGTTTGACAATAAAACTGAACCTAAAGAAAGGTCTAGAGAACTACAAGACTGCAGCCAACTAACAATTTGAGCAACCGTGGAAAGGCTACCATAAATGCCCTTCCCGGATAGTGAGATCAACAACTAACTTATCCATGGAGACCTCGTCTAATACCTGTTGGAAACAGAAGCAAACACCCATAACTAAACACTGAGTCAAACTAGAACCCAGATGCAGAGGGAGAGGACAAGACCAAGTTGCAGAAACACATGGAGACAGCTGACTTGCACAAGGAGGAGCTAACAGGCCCCCAGACTGATAGCTGGGAATCCAGCATGGGACTGACTCAGGCCCCCCTGAATATGGGTCTCAGCCAGAAGGACTGAGCAGTCTAAGGGACCTCAGACAGTGGAGCCAGGATGCATCCCTGGTGCACAAAAGGACCTTGTGGACACATCCCCCATGGAGGGATACTCCCTTATCCTAGAGACAGGAGAGAGGCCCTAGTCCCTACTTCAAATGACTTGACAGATTTAGATGACCCCACCTGGATGCCATTGCCCTACACGTGGAATTGAGGCAGGGAGATGGGATGGGAGGGTGGTAAGGGTGCATGTGAGTGAGCAGAGAGGGTAAGAAGGAGGGAGAGGGAACCAGGATAGACATGTAAAATAATAATAATAATAAAGATGTTGCACATTTACAGAATGGAATACTACTCTGTGGGAAAAAAACAATGGGATACTACTCTGTGGATAAAAACAATGGAATCTTGAAATTTGCAGACAAGTGGATGGAACTTGAAGAAACCATCCTGAATTAGGTAACCAAGTCACAATAAGAGGAATATGGTATGTACTCGCTCATATATGGGTTTTAGACATAGAGCAAAGGATCACCATCCCATAATTCACACTGTCAGAGAAACTAGGATACAAGGAGGATTCTAAGAGATTCATATAAGGTCCCTCACAGAAGGGGAAAGGGACAAGATCTCCAGAGCACATGGGGAGTAGGGGCACAGTGGGTGGAGTGGGAACTAGGAGAAAAAAAAGGGGGAGGAGAAGAAATTATGTGGGAATAGGAAGACTGAGTAATGGGAGGTATAGACCAGAGAGAGAGAGAGAGAGAGAGAGAGAGAGAGAGAGAGAGAGAGAGAGAGAGAGAGAAAGAGAGAGAGAGAGAGAGACTATAAAAGGGGGAGCCCGTATACGTTTGAAGTGAAAACTAAACCTAGAGAAATGGCCAGGCATCTAAAGCTGGCCCAAACTAACAATTTGAGCGACAGTGGAAAGGCTACCCTAAATGCCCTTTCCTGATAATGAGATCAAAGACTAACTTATCCACCATCATTGAGACCTATGGAAACAGAAGCAAACACCCACAACTAAATATTGAGCCAAACTGGAATCCAGATGCAGAGAGGGAGGACAAGAGCAGGCTGAAGAAACACATAGAGACAGCTGACCTGAACAAGGAGGAGCAAATGGGCCCCCAGACTGATAGCTGGGAATCCAGCATGGGACTGATTCAGACCCCCTTAAACATGGGTCTCAGTTAGAAGGCCTGAGCAGTGTAAGGGACCTCAGACAGTGGAACAAGGATGTATTCTTGGTGCACAAAAGGACTTTGGGGGCACATCCTCCATGGAAAGATACTCCCTTAACTTAGAAACAGGAGAGAAGCCCCAGTCCCTACTTCAAAGGACTTGACAGATGTAGATGACCCCCCCTTGAAGGTCACCACCCTACATGTATAGTGGGAGTGGGATGGGAGGGAAGGGTGGTCAGGGACCATGAGAAGGTGGGAGAGAGGTAACTGGGATCGATATGTAAAATAAAAAAAACACAAATAATGCTGCTGCTATGAATGTATTTAAACAGATGTCTTTGTTGCTTGGATGTGGATCATTTGGGTATATACCTAAGAGTGGAATTGCTGGGTCCTATGGTAGACTGATTCCCATTTTTTTGAGGAATGGTCATATTGATCTCCAAAATGGCTGAACAAGTTTGCACTTCCACCAGCATTGGAGGAGTGTTCCCCTTTTCCATATCCTCTCCAGCATAAGCTGTCATTGGTGTTTTTAATTTTAGCCATTCTGACAGGAATAAGATGGTATTTCAGAGTTGTTTTGATTTGCATTTCTCTGATGGCTAAGGATGTTGGGCACTTTCTTAAGTGTCTTTTAGCCATTTT